GCACCCCACCACCGACACACATAAAAAGAAACAGAGAGACAAAGAGAGAATAAGAGAGTGAGACTGGGGGTCAAATGAGCGTCATTCTCCTGAACTTTACTTTGTGTGAGGAGCAGAAGCTGTAAAAGATTGGGGAGAGTGGAGCATGATTTTTGTCGTGGTTTGAACCTGATGCTTGACTACATGTAGAATACTTACTATTTATGGGATGAGTGAAAAACTTTTTTTTATCTCCAGAAACAGATAAGCCTTTTTTGTATTTTCTTTTTCTTTTCTTTCTTTCTTCCTTTTTTTTTTGGTCAGTCATGGGGCCTGGGTGCTGTCTGTCCCTCAGCTCTTCAGCTCAAGGCTACCACTTGAGCCACAGTGCCACTTCCGGCTTTCTCTGTTTATGTGGTACTGAGGAATTGAAGCCATGCATGCAAAGTGAGCACTCTACCACTGAGCCCCTGCATGTATTTTCTTGTTAGGACAGAAAGAATCTTTTTGGGCTGGCACTGGAGTTTGAACTCGGGCCTGAGTGCTGTCCCTTAGCTTTTTTGCTTAAGGATGGTACTCTACCACTTGAGTCACAGCTGTACTTCTGGCTTTTTACTGTTTAATTGGAGATAAGTGTCACAGACTTTACTGCCTAGGCTGGCTTCCGACCCAGATTTTCAGATCTCAGCCTTAGTTAAAGATTCTACCTGGCAGAATTGAAAGGATGGTTGTAGTAAGCATCCATTCTTGGACTATTAGTGGGCATTAACAGCTAATGTGGGCTTCTCTTCCTGGCTGCCCCACGTTGGTCCTTTTCTGCCCCTGCATTCGAAAGTGATTGTGGGCTGCTGGTGCCCTGGTCATTGATAGTGCAGGGAAAGGAATGCTGAAAGCTTTTCCCCGTGTTTGGAAGGTCCATTCCTGTCCTTACCAAACCCTACAGCTTTCTCACACATCTCCTCCCGCCGGTTAGATCCCTCCCCAATCTACCTTTAATGAGTCCTTGTTCCCTGGTCTGGGCAGGTTCCTGTAAGATATGGAAGAGTGCGGAGGGCTGGGAAGGTGGCTCAGTGGTAGAGCACTTGCCTTGCATGCCTGAGGCCCTGGGTTCAATTCCTCAGCACCACATAAG